AAAAATTATTGTCAGATGGAAAAAGAAGGTTTAGCAGTTATTTTTGGTCTTTGCAAATTCAATAATTATTTATACATGAGAGAGTTTACGCTAGTCATTGATAATAAACCTCTGATGTATATTCTTCATCAAAAAAAAATATTCCACAGTTTTCTGCAAACCGACTTCGCAGATGGGCCTTAATTTTATCTAACTACCACTACAATATTGAGTATGTAAAATCAGAAGACAATCACGCCAATTTTTTATCTAGGGAACCTTTACCTTTAGGTGAAAACAGTTTAGATGACGTAGATTTAAATTTTATAGGATATTTTTCTGACAGTGGAGATTTTCCTCTTGAACTTCTTCAGATTAAAGATGCAACACAAAGAGATGAAACAGTAAAAATTATGAAGTATTCGAAATCAGGTTGGCCCAATGATTCATACAAATTAAAATACAAAAAAGAATTCAAATCAATTTATAGACTAAGGAATGATTTATCGATTGGATCGGATTGCTTACTATGGAATAATAGAATAATAATTCCAACTTCTTTGCAAACAAATATTTCAAAGAGTCTAAGTACTAGTCATATGTGTGTAGTGAAGATGAAAACTCTTGCACGATCATATTTCTGGTGGCCGGAGCTCGACAAAAAAATTGAAGAAATTTGTAAAACTTGCGAAAGTTTTCTGATGTATAAAAAATCACCAGATAAATCTAGTTTGACTTGTTAGCCATGGCCGGAACAACCTTGGTATAGGTTGCATTTAGATTTGATGGGTCCATTCAAAAATAAGTATTTTTAAATTGCCGTGTAGGCATGTCTCTCTGATTCTCTAATTCATGAATTATCCGAGGTTCCATAGATCTTTCTAGCATACATTCCATCATATAAATTTCTTTCTGTAAATAATGGACCAATAATTTCATCTCCCAATATATCAGCCCAAACATTAACTTTTCCGGGGTATTGTTTATGCCCTTCTCTAAATAGTCGTGGGTTCTCGTCACTCCAGTAATAACAGTTATGTTAATTTGCATGCCCTTTGGAATAAGGAGTGCACTCGTCACTAAAGCAAATATTTTTGATAATCCGAGGTTCTACGATAATTCTATCGGTCATAATTTCACAAAATTCAATTCTTCTGTCATGGTCATCGTCACCAAGTTCTTAAAGGAATTGCATTTTCTGTGGATGGAAGTTATGTAATTTACGAACGTTTCTTACAGATTCGTGGGATAATACGGTTGCTGTAGTTGCCTCACGAGTCAATAAATTATGATTAATTGCAAAATGTTCGAGTACTTCAATTCACGTTGCTTCGTCCAGTAATCTTAGTCGATTCCTTTTTTAATTTCACTTTTATTTATTCATATTTCAGAAAAGAGAAAATAACACCTAAATAAAGGTGGAGTTGCAGATACGTTTTCGAAAAAAGAAAATATGACCAACTTCGAAATGTTTAGCAAACTTCACATTTTTAGAAAGAGATAATGACACTACTGAGACTAACCTATGTCAACATGATTGAATCGCAAGCCGACTAAGGAGTGGAGTTGAAGATGAATTTTCAAAAAAATTGAATATGACCAACTCCTGAATATTTAGCCAACTTCATAGCTTGGAAATGATAAAATCAGTACTATGACAATTATCTATCAATATGAATTGCAATCGTTTTCTAGATGCCATCAGCCCTGGCATAAGAAAATAATAACAAAACAATATTTTGTCTTCTGGAAAAAATTAATCAGACCAACTCTGAAAGATTTAGCCAACTTTATGTTTTCAGAAGGAAATAATAACACTACTGAGAATATCCTATATCAATATGAAAAACTCGCAAGCCGTCTTAAGGTTGGAGTAGTTACAAATGAATTTTCGAAAAAATCAAATTTGACCAACTCCGAAATATTCAGCCAACCTCATATTCTCAGAAACGAATAATAACATTACTGAGAATATCATATATTGATGTGATTGACTGGTCAGCCGTCTATGGGGTAAAATTGTAGATGGATTTAGGAAAAAATAAAATTTCGCTGATTCCGAAATATTTTGCCAACTTTATATTTTCAGTAAGGGAAAATAACACCATAGATAATATTCTATATTAATATGGATGACTCGCAAATAGTCTATGGGTTGGGGCTGGATATAAATTTTCGCTAAAATGGAATTTGATCAATTCCGAAATAATTATAGCGTACTTTATAATTTCGGAAAGACATGAATGCAATCAGTACCTAGAACGTAAAACATCCTCTCTAAATTTTGTTCCTACATTTTTATCACTGATAAGTTTTCCATATTACAACATGGGTATAACTTTACTCAAATAATTTTCGTTTTATTAAAAAGAAATCCTAACGAAAACACATTTTGCCCCGCATTATAACCAAACCTCTTTTTCTTATTTTGTTACCCAAGTTAGTTAGGAGATGAGCAGATAATTATAACAAATAGGTATACCTACTTAACAAATACCTACCTTTCGAGTTTTGGTAAGTGCAAGGAGTCGTATCGTTTCATTAATTTTATGTCAACGTTTTATGCCTACATACCTATCTCAAAATATCGTATTTCGTTCTATTAGATTCATTTCATTCTTGAAAATATCCATCCATTCATTTTTATCATAAGACAAAGATTGTTCACTTCTCATGCCGAGGTGGATGACATCTAGAAAATGATTGCAACTGATTCAGTTCGATAGATGTTGAGAGTACTGATTTTATCCCTTTCTGAAGCTATGAAGTTGGCTAAATATTCTGGAGTTGGTCATATTCAATTCTTTCGAAAATACATATTTAACTCCACTCCTTGGACGGCTTGCGAGTCAATCATGTTGATGTAGGTTACTCTCAGTAGTGCTAATAGGTATCTCTTTCTGAAAATATGAAGTAGGTGTACCTAAGCTAAATATTTCGAAGTCGGTACTTTTAAATTTTTTCGCAAATTTATCTGCAACTCCACCTCTCAGACGGCTTGCGGGTCATACCTACATATTAATATAAAATGTTCTCTAAGGTGTTATTTTCTCTGTTCTGAAATATGAAGTTAGCTTAATATTTCGGAGTGGGTCAAATTTTTATTTAATTATTCTAAGTATTGTTATTATCTATCTCTGAAGTTGGTTTAGTATTTCGGAGTTGATCCAATTTAATTTCGTCGAAAGTTCTTCTGCAACTCCACCTCTTAGACGGCTAGAGAGTTGTTCATATTGATATAGGATGTTATGATTCTTTCTGAAAATATGATATTGGCTGAATATGTCTAATGTTCTTATTTGATGTGCATCAGGTAAGAACCATATGCAAATAGAATGAGCAATTACGAATTATATAGGGGTGATATTAACAAATGGCGAAAATTTGAGATTAACTTCACATTTCGTGTCTCAAGATCCTGAGTAGACTGTCATTAATGAATATGTTTGTTCTATATAAAATCATGTTTAATAAAGGGAGATGGTAGATATATGTATATAGGTACCTTTTCATTTGCCTATCTTCATTTGAAAATTGTCCACATACCTAAAACTTCATAATGTATTTTCTATCAATTGTCAATCATCTTGTATAATATGACGTTTACATATATTGCAACCTTTCCAGAAAGTGTTATTCCGAACATGGTTTGTCAACAAAGAAAACTTCATTAAAAATCTCCTTTAGGTATAGATACATGTGATTTTGATCAATGAGTATTACGGTCTTCACTCTGTATGTATCTATCGTTCTGGACATACTACATAGTTCAACTATTATCCAATGTGATTCAAATTAGTTTTTGAATTTATTGGATCGTTGAAGGACGAATGAAATTATTCTGGCATATGCTGGTAATAACGTGCTTGGGGTCGTACGTTGAAAGGTAAGACCTCGTTAATCCTCAGTTCGCACAAGTTTTGACTTCTGAGAGTTGTCGTTCATAGGAAGGCGACTGCTGGTTAACGGAAAAACCGATTTTAACATTTCGGAATATTGATTGTTCTCGACAATAGTTATTTTGAGTTATTCCTTATAGATTTTTCTTCATTTAAAATGTATCAGCAGGTATTAAAATCTATAGAGAAATTCCATGTGTCGAAAGATCACGCCTTTCTCGTTATACCTAGAAGTATTTAAATAAAAACGTACATTAATTACAACAGAATTAAAATTAATGGTTTTGTAAAATAGCATCAGTTTGTCTGAGCATGTTCTGTTGTCAAATAGACATCAGACAAATAGTTATGGCTTAGAAGTTAAGATGAAATAAAATTATATTCATATATAATCAAAAAGCCATTATAGTCGAGGCGAACATACAACTGTAAGCATGGGCAGCTAACTCGATCAACTAGTCAAAAAGCCCTCTTCCATGGACAACACGTTTATTGTTAGCAAAATACCTCCTTACAGATTGAGTTGTATGTATATTGTGATAATATGTATTGGGAAGGGATAGGCGGGATTAGTATCGATGTCGGGCGTGCCAGTGAGACACGATCTCGCCAATGAGCCGCGCGTCCGCATCGAAACGCCCCTCCCTCTTACCAATGAAAAAAGCATTAATCTCTTTTAAAAACAAAGGAGAGAGCAACCAGGCAGCTAGGCGACACGCACCGAATCGTTAACTGACATAGAGCTCCCTGTAATGAGGTTCAGTAGCACATATTTAACATGTAGTTCAGTTTATAGACATCCCCACTAGCTCACCTTACCGTCCTAGACAACGCCCACTAGGCTCACCTCAACGATTGCAGTCGCTTGAAGAGTCAGTTGGGTTCATTGTCAACCCAATAGTGACCACACAAAATACGGTACACGGGGCAATCTGCTGTGCTGTTTGCTCTATATTTTGACAAACCAAAAAAGCACTTGTTAAAAAAACAAAAATGTGTGATGTGAAGTGACAGCTTCGTTGGTGTATTCGTGAAAATAAAAACGGACAGAATCGCCCCGAGATTTTCGGCGACGCGGCTCGATCGCGTCTTCAGATTGCAAACACGGCGTCTCCAGTGGCAATGACGCAACACAGCGACGCGTCCAGTGACCGATCTGAAGTATCTGTGACACCGCCGCCCCCAGTTTCGAAAATGTTAGAGTTTGCCAGTCATCAAAATTTAAGTTTTCTCAATTTAGAGCACCGCAACATGTTGGCCGCCCCATTGGCGGCGCTCCATTCTATGACCGAAATGAAACATCAGTCGCATATAAGTTCCGAACACCTTCACAGTCATCATCAAGAAAAAGGTGATACCGACATCTTGCTAGACCGTACAAGTTTGCACGTAGAACGGTCTGGCTTGACGTCGTCGCGAAGTCCTTTGGGGGCGACTAGCAATAGTAATAGTTCCCAGGGAGCTAATCCCCATGGCATCGATCACATTTTATCCAGGCCGACACAAATAACCACCGGTCCTTTACATTTTCCTCATAATATCAGTTTCACACAAAACCCTATGGGAATGGCATCTAATAGCGCTCACAGTGCGTCCAATTCAGGAATGAGAGGATTCAACATTGCCGCTGCTGCCTTTTTCCATCACCACGCCACCAACTCCGTAAATAAACCCCAAATTGAACTCGGAAGAAGTGCCGGCGGTTTATACTGGCCCGGAATTCAAGGTCTGAATGCTATTTCTTGGCGGGATCGACTTAATAGTAGTAAGTGCTATATGATATACCTTAAAGCTACCGAAGTAATAATTTAAATGTTACCAAGATTTATTTGTGTTTAGAAGAGACAAGGGACAATTATTAAAAACATTTCAGTAAATACCTCCCCATATACCTATAGTTAACAATTAAGACTTCAAATACGCTAGGCGTATTTGAAGTCTTAATTGGACTTTATTCGAACGACTACAAATTAATGATATTAAAGAAATTAAGTATCTATATTACAAAAATATTTGGTGACATTTTCAAAAACTTATTGGAAACGTTTCAACCGACCCCTGTGCGGTTATAACACTGAAACACTGATAGGGGTCAGTTGTGACACTAACGAAATGCAGATAATTTCTTCCTAGTCAAAAATCACAACCTATAGATATTGTCAGTTTTAGTCATCTACTGATGATATTAACTTGGTCAGCGAAACGCGCGTCGGGAGACAGTGGGTCAGTTCTGGTGTGAGATAATTGTTTGCATTAGATTCATAGTAATAGTAATGATGGTAGTAATAATATCTTCATTGTTTCTAAATACATAAACATGATACATAATGCAACCCACCAGTTACCAACAACAAAAATATACAAAGGTTCATATCAGTATGACAAAAGCAAAAATATCGAAGGACACAATTTAATACTAATATTAAAAAAAATTATTATCAATCATAAGCATGACATGTGATGATATAATAATGAATATATGAATTAAATACTATGGTCATTTGAACTGTCGTTTATGGTAAGCTAATGAATTGCAAAATTTCCTACCCTATAATAGAGTTCGAAACGTGCAGGTATATAGCTAGATATTTTTGGAAGTTTTGAAAATATTGAAATCAAGTTTGATAGATACATATCTACATTACAAATATACATTGAATATGGTAAGAAAATTAAGGTTGTAGGAGTATCGTATACACGAGTTCTGAATTGTCTGTATAGACTCTGTTTATCTCTTATTATTACCTACCTAGCACCGGTCAGCAGACAATATCACAGTAAGCAAAACTTGATAAAATCAAAGAGTCGCACAGTTTATGTTTCAATTTAATGTTAAACATTTATTTAGGCATACCTATATACAGTATTTCAGTTTAGAATTAGTTTTTTTTAAGCAAATGGTTTACATGTGCGGTAAATTTTAATTCATTCTCTATATACACTCTCAAATTTTTATGTTTATATGAAATATTCAGTTGTTTATCATTGATCAAAATTTGAAATTATTTGCATTCCATAGTTACAAATATCAACACTTCAGTTTTGGTTCCATTTGATAAAAGACTATAGGCTTTAGAAAGTTTGTAAAGGAAATCAAGATCGGAATTATTTGCATCACAAGACGTTTGCAAATTAGCCAGATGAAGTGTTTCATTAATTTGGGTGTCATATTCACAGAACTCAAGAGATTCAGGAAAATCAACTATATATAGGTACATATATTGTGAATAAAAGCGGACCTTGAATACTACCCTAGGGGACTCCTCGTGATAAAATTCTACTTGCGGATACCGTTCCATTATATAATCGTTTGCTGGTTGCGATTTTTCAGGTAGCTTTCAAAAAATTTCACCACTAATTCCACTAATTCGAAAGCTTTAATATAATATTGAAACTATTGTCATACTCTATTTCTAATCACTAGTTCGAAAAACGTCATCGGTACTATTTCCAGAGCGAAAGCCATACCTACCTACTGTGCAGGTAAAAAAATGATCAGAATGGCTTTCATCTGATTTTCAACTATAATTCAAGAATTTGGTAGGTTGGATTCTAATAGGCCTAAACTATGTCATTTATGTGTATAATATGTAATACTTTATTTTAAAAATTGGGTAAATGAAAGATTTCTATCAGTTGTCGGGAGAGGTATTGATAATAAACGGTAATGTACACATCACTCAGATAGGGTAAAGTTAACAGTGACATCTTCAGATTTCCTCTCCACCACCGACTACATGAATTTCTCTTGATGCCTACGTATGAAGTTTTTCACTTGTTTGCTGTTGCTTTTTTCTGAATTTATCAAAAATTCCTTGTGTTGTTTCTCTGTGTTGAACTTCAAGTAAGCTTTTCTAAAAGTTTTTATCATTATATTCACAAGGTTACTCTCAAATCTGAATAGTATGCCTAGGACGTTTCAAATTTATTTGTTTCATATTTTGTAAAAGTTTTATTCCTCAGTTCCATCATAAAGTTCAAAATATCGGATAGACATAGAGCAGGATATTTAGTTGTTCAAACATATTCATTAGGAGCATCTTTATTAGAGAGTTCAGTCACATAACGATTTCAAAAGTTAATTATATCTTCAAATTCATTGAAGAGTAAATGAGAGGCCAGTCAATAATATATAGATTATTCAAGTGAGAATAATCCTTACTTCTACTAAGACGAAGCAACTGTTCATCCATTTTGATGCATAGGGAACAATCATGTAAAGAATGATTTCTGAAATATCTTCCAGGTTCATAACATTGCTTCCATTCATTATGGAGTTCGTTTGGAACAATCGAGAGTTCCGTAGTTTGAGTTACTCTTGTGTTTCTCAGAGCTCTAACACAAAGCATTCGTGACACAAAACATGAGACAGACTTTCGTAACAGTTTCGATCTGTTATAGTGCTGGGTGAATGCATTTTGGATTCAAATGCGAGATCAACTGCCTTTAAAAGACCAACCTGAGTATAAGTAATAAGCATGGACAACTTTTATTACGGAGATACTACTTATCTTGTTGACAAAATACTGAACATATGTGATGGAATTGGCAGATACTTGGATAAACTCCATAATTTATTCAAGTCACAGTTTATTGTAAGATTTTCTCCAGACAGTGTTTAGTCTAGTCTTTGGACTATTAGAAAATCATCATAGAATTTTTTGCAAGGTATCGTCCGCGATTTGTCAGAAAATTTCACCCTTCAAAAAACCTCTGCATCATCTCAAACCTAGAAAACACATACTTATCAAATTCGGAAGATCTTTAACCATAAAGGGAGAACCAAAAATTAGCAATCGGTGCAAGACTAAAATATATACTATCAATTTTTCAAATACAGAAAAAAATGTTTAGCAAAGTTGTTTATATTGACATCATTGATTCAAATATGAATTCATGATTTTCTAGCTAATTCTAATCAATTTTGATGGTGCTAACTTGACCTAACGAAACGCGCTTCGTGAGAAAGTATTTTGTACCTACTGGAGTAGAAAAAGTGTTTCTTAAAGAAAACTAAAATGAATAATTTTCACATGGAATGACGTTAAAAATTCATTTTGGTTAGGTTTCTATCTAACTGGACAGAAAATTGAGAGATTTGTGATAGAAGTCAACAAACAATTTTTGAAAGCTGAAAGGTTACAAATTCATATTTCAGTAAATAATGTCCATCATTTCAATTTTTCTAGGTGGAATTTTTGTAATGGAAGATTTAAGGGTACCTGGTTTACTCTTGCAACAATTGCTAACTTTTTATTCTCGCTGTATGATGAAAATATTTTCATCAAATCTTATGTATGTTTTCCAGATATCAAATGATAGAACATATTTTGAAGAGTGAAGTTTTCTGACAAATCGATATTGAAAAATTTTCCATTTGTAGAGGACATGCTTTGTCCATGAGATTTTTTCATTTCTACTTGTATAAAAATCACTGAGGAAATCGTCTCGCCCTGGACCCGAATGTCACACAAGTGGCTGAAGCTGCCGCCGTAGAGACGTTGGTGAAGCTTGTAACTCGGGGTTATCTGACCGAAACTCCAAAGTGGTGCTAGACGCTGTTGACGACTCCCTACATTGTGGTATTGTTTCCTGCAACTAAGTATTGTCCATCCTAGAAATCAGCTACACCGTACTGATGAGGCCAATGAGCCAGAAACACGCGCCTGAGGTTTGCATTTTTTGAGTAGATACTTTATGTATGATTTTTTTTCACACAAGTGTCTAAAGTTGTCTTCGTGAAGGGGTTGTTTGTTTAACCTCTAACCCGAGGCGATCTAATCGAAATAACAAAGTGCGTAAATTATAGCGTGGTATTTCATTAATCGATGATTCTGCAGTTTGAATGGTTGGGATGGTACTTACGTCAGGTAGAATAATTACTTCTGATAACTCAGTATTTATTCATTGATTTTTGTTTTCAGTTATTATTCATGTTATATGAAATAATACAATGTTTCATTGTCCAAAACTACGTAGATGTTAGTTCCACCCGGCGTCATCCGGTGAGATACCATTGCTTAGGCAGCTTAGGCAGCCTAAAATTGCTTTTGGGCTAACGTTTCGTTGCTGTGTCGCTGTTTCCAGTTTCAGGGGGTGTGGATATAAGGAAAAAATAGCTTTCTAATCGGATCTTCGAGTGGGTTTGGTTGGAGGGCGTCATCCTGCAGAAATTATTCGAAAACCACTATTTCTGACAGTCAGCAGAGTCTTCCTAACGTCAGTCCACAGGGAAACACCATGGTAACTGCAGTTGTTAAGAGGCCCACTAGCAACTTCAAAATCGATTTCTGCAACATCAGAGGACTCAACTCAAATATAAACTCAATGCATCATCTGCCAACAAATATATTTCTCATATTATTGCATTCACAGAAACCAAAGGCAGTTCTTCAACAAAACCCGTCAATTTTGTATTTTCCCGGTCGGTAGCTAAAGCTGTTAATCTAAACTTCGCAAAATCCACAATTTCACCACTAACGAAAGCAGATGATTCAATTGCAACAACAGCCATTGAAAAAGTTAATCTACTAGCTGAATAGTGGGCACCGCCCACTATTCTCACACTAGAATCCACAATGCAAATGAACTCGCACCAGTCTTTTGCAGACTTTTTAACCTGTCTTACAAGGAAGGGTTTTTTTCTTATTGGAAGATTGCTCATGTTCAGCCTATTTCCAAAAAGGACAAGAAAAATATTCCAAATAACTCTAGACTAGTCGCTTTGCTATCAGTGATATCAAAAATCATGGAAAAAGCCGTAAA